TTGGAATGCAGATTGGTGCAGCCACTGTGGAAAGCAGTATGGAGATACCTCAAAAAATTATACATGGATCTGTATTTCAACCCAACAATTTCACTTCTAGGAATATATCCAAAGAAACCCAAAACACTAATTTGAAGGAACATAGGAACCTCTATGTTCATTTCAGCATTATTTACAATCACCAAGATATGGAAGCAGCCCAAGTGGCCATCAAAAGATGAGTGAATAAAACAACTATGGGACATTTACATGATGGAATAATACTTGGAATTAAAAAGGAAGACAATTTTACCCTGTGTGACAGTATAGATGGACCTAGAAAATATTATAGTAAGTGAAATAAGCCAGTCAAAACAACACAAATACTGTATAATTTCACTCATAAGTGGAATCTGATGAAAAATAAAAACTGATGCAACAAGCAAAACAGGCACCGACTCATAGACAGAGAGCAGAAGACAGCTAGTCATGGTTGGAGGTTAGAGGGTGGAGGAATTGAGCAAAAAGGAAAAGGGATTCATGGGCATGTACAAAGAAGTAGTGATGGCTGGGGAGAGGAGGGTATAAGGTGAATAAACGGTAATGGAAAAGAAATACAATAAAGATTAAATGAAAAATACAGGACTAAAGAACACAAAGAAACAAATTAATTCACTTGTACTGTTGGGAGTCAGAAGCCTGATGAGTCAATGGGCTGAAATCTACAATCTGCAGGGCTGGGTTCCTTCTGGAGGCTTCAGGGAGAACCCATTTCCTCTCCTACCCCAGTTTCTCATTCTGTGTGGCCCTTTCTCCATCTTTAAAGCCAGCCAAGCAGCATCTTTCAGTCTTATAGTGATTCCAACTATTCTTCCCTCTTGTTCCAAATGTTGGGACCATGATGAATACATTAGTCCCACCTACTTGGCCATGGCATCTTATCTTAAAGTTAGCTGATTAGCCACACTATTCCATCTGGTACTTTAATTCTCCCTTGCAATGAAAAGTAACATATTACAGATTTCTGGAAATTATGAGGTAGACATCTTTGTTAATGTAGGATAAAGGCTTTTATTCTGTCTACTAAAAAATGTTTATAACAATATATTCCATGGTGTCAAATGAGGGCCCTTATGTAAAATAACCTAATAAGGTATTGTTCAAAAGTATATTATATGACATCATTCAAGAATCCTTATTTAAAATAATTGAACAGTGATTTTATAATAGCTTCTGTAATGATTAAATGTCCATTCTGCATTCAAAATTGCATGGAAATGCTTTTTGGTTCTGAAGACCTAGATCTACTTACCCCTGACTTGAACACAACCACAGCCTTACTACTCCAAGTGTGGTCCAGAGACCAGCATCTGCAGCATCAACACCGCCTGGAACTTGTTTTGTTTAAAGAACCCTTAGGCCCACCAGGACGTGACTTATGTGCACCTTGGACCTGGATAAGTGCTGGTCTAGACTATGCTTTCTCACTTTCTCACCTTCTCATGTTGACAATAGGGGTGAAATAATTATTTGTGATGGATATTATAGGTGGTTAGTCGCCTCTCTCCACAAGTTTCAGGACCAAATCATCTCAAGTGGAGAACCACTGGCCCAGAGTTTGAAAACTGGAAGCAATCAGACAGATTCCAAGCAAGGGCCACCCCTCATTCACTTCATAACTTTGAAAAAATACTAGACCCCTTCCAGCCCCATTTCTGCAAAAGAGAATGGCATTCATATCAGTAATACCTCATAGAATGGACTTTTCAAAAATTTAAATCAGACAAAATCAATAAAGTACTAGGCTTAGATTATATGGTATAAAACAATCAAAATGTATATTTCAAAATTAACACATATTTCATAATGAGGAACTAAATGTCAATTCATAACCTGTGAAGTAAGAAATTTCTAATTATTTTGACAAATGTGTCAGGAAGGAAAAGAGTGTGGTGGTCAGGACTACATATCAAGGGAACGGAGCCCCCCTCTCTCTTTGAAGGGGGATAGCAATGCTCTGGAGACATCAGGGCTGTGTCCCGACCAAAACTCAGGGCTTTAAGCATTTTCAGGAACACATGGACAAAACCAAGGGGGAGGGTGGAAGGAAGGGAGGGAGGTGGGTTTGGAGGGGTTGAGGGGCAGGGCTAGGGAGAAAATAGGGACAACTGTAATTGAACAACAATAAAGTAATTAAAATAGAAAAAAGAAACTCAGTGCTGTAAACATCAAAAAAACCTTGTCCTGGTCTCAGACTGTGAAGAAAATGTTAACTCAGTGTTGGAATAAGAAAATAGATGGTAAGACTGCTTGGAAGCAGGTGAGATCCAAGATAAGGATTCATAAAATCTAAATCCACCTGACTTCTAACCTGGTCTCCAGAGATCTGAGAATCATTATGAAAAATTTCTTTCTATTTATTCCAGAGGCCCAGAGGGAAACTGTGTACTTAGATGTTAGAAAACACAAGGGAAATGTGCCTGATGAGCAGATATTCAAAGAGCTGTAAATATCTCCCCCACTCCTGCTGTCCCTCAGCTTGTACAATGTTGCTGGACAAACATGGTTGTTGCTGTGATTCCTAAGTCTGGTTTGGGAATGATGCTTCCCTCCTTCCTGCTGTTTTGTGTGGGACACATCATCAGTCTCCATCATCCATCCTCCAGGAACCAATTCTGACTTCCAAACAGAGACCAGAAAACCCATCCAGGGGAGTCTGAAAGCCTGGAAGGTACATCAGGAAAGGGTGAGAAATCTGGAACCTCAGAACTTTTACCTCAAGCATGGCAACCCTAATCAGCCCAGCACTGAAACCAGAGATCTCTGTTTGTATTCCTAGTTAAGGAACAAATCTGTACTTAATTTACTGAGTATATTAATAAGGACGCATCTCTTTGAATCTGTGCTCCAGGGCCATAGCTGACAAGTAGATGATGGGACTGGGAGTCCAGTGGCAAGATTCTGCACAATGACTGAGATGCAGGAAATGGTTGCAGGAAAATGAAAACACTTCTCAGAGAGTTTTGCTGTTTTCAGAGCTGAAATGAAGCCTTAGATGTGGAGAGCAGTACAGTGAAGTGAGAGTGTGAGTAATAAAATTCTAAGCAAGGGTGCTTTTGAGCATGTTGTGTATTCATTGAATATATCCAGATCAGTGAGTCAGACAGTGCCTTGTAGCAGCAGGTAGTAAGGCAAACATTGCAGTATCTTCTCTCATGCTGTGTATTCACATGAGAGTATATTTAATAAGTCTAAAGGGAAATACTAACTAATTTATCTCATTAATGGCAAGGCTGCAATATTTTGGGGTTTTGTGCCCTTTTGCTTTCTATATTAAAAGAGTAGAAATTTCTATCCCATGCTTAGCCTGTTCCTGCAGTGGTCATATCTCTATGCTTCCCATGAGAGATTCTGTCATGCTCTTGGGAAATATAAATGGAGGACTGACCAACTTCTAGATAAGAGTACAGTGGGCTGAATAACAAGTTTTGATAATTCAGTGATGAAGAAATTAAGGTCACACATTGTACCTTAAATATTAATGACACCAAACGTCCTAGTTCACAGCCTTTACTTTACATTTACGTCATGAAGACTTCGCTGTCCCACCTAATGAGATAGAATATCTCCAATTCTTTCAATATTTCTTTTCTAGTTTCCTTGGATTTTCAAAGTAAAATGCCTACCCAAGAAAGCTAATGAATACAGAGACATAAACTCAGCCCCTCCATCACATGTCACTGGACAACTGACTCTATTAAACTGCAGAGACTGCTGGGAAGTGCTCCCACACCAGGTGTTCTCAGTGAGCACTGAGCTGTGGGTACAGTTCCAGGTGTCAGAGCCTGGCTGGAGTCTCACTGACTAATCTCAGGATGTCTGCAGGGCTGGGCTCCTCCTACAGCCTCAGGGGAGAATCTGTTTTCTACTCAATCCCTGTTTGTATTCTGACCACCGGCATTACTTGACTCAGGGCCCTTCCTCCTTCGTCAAAGCCAGCTGTGCTGCCCTTTCTCCTGGTCTCCCTCTCTGTTTCTAGGGGAGCACTGTGCTGACCTTACTCCTCCTGGATGATCCCAGCTCACCTTCTAGCTAAAATCAGCTGATATGCAGCCCTGTTCCTTCAGCTAGCCTCATCCACCCCTTGCTTTAAAAAAATAACGTATTTGAATACACTGGGAAATAGGATGTGTACATCTTACAGAGGTTTGAATCCTGCCTGTTAAAAGTTGGTTTTCAGATGTGTATTCTTATCAGTCAAGGGCCCTTATGTAAAGAAAGCACAGATTCATTCTTAAACTCTGGAATGAGCAAATATGCATTTCCTTCAAAACTCCATTCAGAGACAATATTTGCATCACAGGAATGAGGGTGACTGCAATAGAGTCTAACACAGAACCACAGCCTTTCTTCCCAAAGAGTGGTCCACAGACCAGAACCTGAAGCATCAACACCACCTGGGTGCTTGTCGGAAACAGCTGTTCTGAGCCTGAAGGACCTGCTAAATTAGATTCTTATTTGAACCAGATCCTGGGGACTCTACATGCATTTGAAATCAAAGAAGTACTGGTCTAAACTAGGTTCTGTCACCTTTTACCATTGACATTTGGGGAGGGATAATGATTTGGCAGGGGTTTTAGTGTGTGTGCATGAATTGTAGGTGTTTTGTGGTATCCCTTGGGGCACTGCTAGAAGCAAAATCATTTGTGGGTGAGATCCACTGCCTAGAAGCAACCTGAAAAATTATAACCAGGGCCCATCACATACTCTAATATTACCTCTGAGCAAATCACTTCACCCCTTGAGCTCCTCCCTAAGGCTTTGGTACTGGCCACTCCCTCCGCTGGGCACACACTGGCCCACATAACCATGATCTCTGTCCCTTCCTCCCTTGTGTTCTCTGCTCAAATGTCACTTGTTGGCAGGTCTCACCTAAAAACCCATGAGAAATAGAATGGTCTAGTCACTTTCTAATTTAGACCTGCTTTTGTTTTCTTCATAGGACTTGTCACCATCTGTTGGTATATTTATTTCTATTATTTACTTCTATATTCGTTGCCCAATATTGGCTTGCAGGGACTTGTGTTCTTCAGTACCTTCCACTCACAGTCCAGACGGTGCCCAAAACATGGTCAACACTCAATTTGTATTCCTGAAATACATGATATATTTTTCATTAAAACTGCAGAATACTACATAGCAGAAAGAAATGGATGGAACTGAAAAGCATCATGCTAACTGAAATAAGCCAGGTGGGGAAAGAGAAATACCATATGATCTCACCTATAACTGGTACCTAATCAACAAAAGAAACAAGCAAAAAATACAACTAGAGACATTGAAAAAAAAGAACAAACTGACAGTAACCAGACAGGAGGTAGGAGAATAATAATAGGGGGCAATAGGGAAAGGGCCATCAAGGAACATGTATAAAGGACACATGGACAAAGCCAAAGGGGGTAGGTTCAGGGATGGGAGGCTGGGAAGGGTGGAGTGGGGAGCATGGTGGGGTGAAAATGGAGGCAACTGTACTCAAACAATAATTTTTAAAAATGTAGTCTTCCTAAAAGCTGATAAAAACAAACAAAGAAAAAAAAAGTAGTATAACTGACACCTTAGAAAGAAAGTAGGTCTAGACAGAAATTCCTACTCTAAGATAACACAGAAAACTCCTAAAGCAGAAAAGATCTATCTCAAAATGTGAAATTAATTTCTTTTTCTCTAAGATTTTTAATTTATTTTTCTTTAGAGGGGAAGGGAAGGAGAGAGGGAGAGAAATATCAATGTATGTTTGTTTCTTGTGTGTCCCATGCCGGGAACTGGCCTGCAACCCAGGCATGTGCCCTGACTGGGAATTGAACTGCGATCCTTTTGTTCACATGCCCACACTCAATCCACAGAGCTACACCAGCCAGGGCTGTGAAATTAATTTCTTGACTGAAAAATGTAAATGGTAGCATTAGAGCCTTGAGAGTAATACTGGCTTATATAAAAATTATTCCTGTTCCTTTCTCCTTCTTGAAAGTCAGCTCCATCTCATGGATCCAGCAAACCTTACAAGAGTATCAGAATTTCTTCTCCTGGGACTATCAGAGGAACCAGAACTGCAGCCTGTCCTATATGGGCTGTTCCTCTCCATGTACCTGATCACTGTGTTGGGAAATCTGCTCATCATCCTGGCCATAGGCTCAGACTCCCACCTCCACACACCCATGTACTTCTTCCTCTCCAACCTGTCCTTGGCTGACATCTGTATCACCTCCACCACCATCCCAAAGATGCTGATGAACATCCAGACACAGAGCAAAGTCATCACCTATGCAGAATGCCTCACCCAGATGTATTTTTTTACACTATTTGGGGGTTGGGACCACTTCCTTCTGACTGTGATGGCCTATGACAGGTTTGTGGCCATCTGTCACCCCCTGCAGTACATGGTCATCATGAACCCCCAGCTCTGTGTACTGCTGGTTCTGGTGTTCTGGATCTTGAGTGCCCTGGATTCCTTGCTACAATGCTTAATGGTGTTGCATCTGTCCTTCTGCCCAGACTTGGAAATTCCCCACTTTTTCTGTGAACTCAATCAGATGAACCAACTTGCCTGTTCTGACAACTTTCTTAATAACATTGTGATGTATTTTGCAACTGTGCTACTGGGCGGTGGTCCCCTGGTTGGAATCCTTTATTCTTATTCTAAGATAGTTTCCTCCATACGAGCAATCCCATCAGCTCAGGGGAAGTATAAAGCATTTTCCACCTGTGCATCTCACCTCTCAGTTGTCTCCTTATTTTATGGTACAAGCCTAGGAGTGTATCTCAGCTCTGCTGGTACCCACAGCTCACAGCCAAGTGCAACAGCCTCAGTGATGTACACTGTGGTCACACCCATGCTGAACCCCTTCATCTATAGCCTCAAGAACAGAGACATAAAGGGAGCTCTGAGAAGATTGATTAGGGTATCTGGTAAATTAGGGACCATCATCCTGAATCAGAAAATGTGACCTTGATTTCTTTGCTCTAAGAGGAAAACCGAAAAGTGTTTCTTCAATTGGATTGTAGTTTGCAAACTTGCTCCTTTTTTCCTTTGTTGTAATTTCCATTTCTTTGAGTTCAACTTCCCCATACTATTTAAATTACTTTATGCCAGATAGTTTTTTTCTTTCTCTCTATTCTAAGCTCAATATAGTTTTTCCCGCCTGGATCAGAACTCTTTGTAAATTATAGTTTATTTCTCAGCAACATGGATTTTTTAAGAGTCATATATTCTGAAATGATGTATATTGTTGCAAGTAAGTTATTCTTGTTTTATAAATAGAATAGTCATAAATTGTATTATCACGTGGAATGTTTTCACTTTGTTACTCACATAATTTATATATTTTCATTCGAGGAAGATCTGAAAACTCAATTTTAACTTTTGTGTCCCTCTTTCTTTGTACATCAGTACCTTAGTGGTTTTCCCTGAGTATGTAGAGCTGACTATTGTTTCTTGTAATCTCAGCCTGTTGACAGTGATGCTATAGGATAGGAAGGCTGGGCCCAACTAGCCTTGGGCCCTGGTACTTCTTTCTCAGACCACACTTAATGGTGAGGCTAGACAGCCTCTTGTGGTCCTTATTATGATTGCAAAAATAATCATGGAACTATGAAAACATAAAGTTTATTTCTCATTGATCCTGGAGGGTCACAGCATCCTGAGGGCCACAGAAGATCTCTCAATGGGGGCGAGGAGGAGGAGGGAGAGAGAGAGAGAGAGAGAGCATAGATTGAGTTGGGTGGGGAGGCTTGGGTGTTTCCCTAGCAGCCTACTTATCACACAGCTGGCAGTAAGATTATATGAGATGGATGTCTTTGAAACAGATGTCTCATACATCACAAGTGTAATGTCATTATGACTGGTGTGGCTCAGTGGACTGAGCACTGGCCTGCAAACCAGAGGGTTGCTGGTTTGATTCCCAGTCAGGGCACAAGCCTGGGTTGCAGGCCAGGTCCCCAGTAGAGGGTGTGACAGTGGCAATCACACATTGATGTTTCTCTCCCTCTCTTTCTCCCTCCCTACCCCTCTAAGAATAAATAAATAAAATGTTTTATAAAAAGTGTAACATCAGGCATTTACACTAGAAATATGCCACTGGGTTTTAGAACCAATCTCCCAGTTTTATTGTCTTTTTCAGCTCAGTGTCCAGAAAACCTATGATAGTACCTGGAAAAATGGATTACCACATATATGAGATTTGTCCAGAAGGTATTCAGCCATGTAATATGAAAAAAAACACATTTATTGAAGAAGATACAAGATATAAGAGATATTGTACAGAGGACAATGATACCTCAGTTTCCTTCAAAGTAGGTACCTTGGTACCTCCCACAGTTCTCCCAATAGCTATCAGCTATTCCATTATATTTTCCTTAATCTCATTGATGGTCTGGGATCTTTTCTCTTTCAAAGGTGATTTTAGCTTTGAAAAGGCCAGAAGTCTCAGGGCACCAAATCAAGGCTTTAGGTGGGCTGAGTAACCTTGGTGATTTCATGTTTTGCCAAAAGACTCTGCACGAGATGTGATGCATGAGTGGGTACATCGTTGTGATGAAGCTGCCAATTAGCAGTTGCCCATAGCTGTGGCCTTTTGAATCATCCAAATAGTATCCATGGAGAAATGTTACACTTTAAGACAAATTCTGATGCAGATTTATTGCTCTACTATCTCAGTCACTTTGAATGTGACAGCCACACAGTGCACATGCTCACTCAATGGCATCTACTACCCCACTGACCAGTACAGTGAAGTCATTATTCACACATGCACATCCCACTCCACTCCCTTAGCTACCAGATTGCATTGATATCACACCAACAATTCTCATTATATTAACAAGGCTGGACATTATCAGGACAGACCTTGTGTGTCTCCCAGTGACTTCTATTTGGATATGAGGCTGGATAGAAAGGAGTTACTGAAGACCCAACAGGTAGAATGAAGAACTAGGAGCAGACATAGTCTCACCTGAGCCTACTGACCCCTCCATTCTGTCATAATCAAAGAGAAATCAGTTTATCGCAGGGAAACCACTCTGATAGGTATGGAAGTCAATAACAAGAACTGACTAGAACCAGATCATTTCCAAGTGGAGGAAAAATTGACTATATCCATCTCAAAGCTCATTACACCATCATTATAATGAAAACTGACACCACGTGTAGAAGGGGAACATATAAGGACAGAGGTCATGACACTTCCAGAAGGACCATTTTAGGAACAAGGCCCACTCCCAAACAGAAGGCAGAGTCAGAATTTGGTCCACCAAAGTTTGGAGAAACCCCTCTTTCACCTTGGAAACACATAGAGCCGCAGGAACTAACAGAGTATGTGCATAAACTCACTCTCCTGTTAGTCCTCATCTACTCTGGTTTGTTCTTTCCTTCTCTTTCCCAGGTGCTCCCTTGCCCCGGCCTCTTTCTTTTTCACCACTGGGATAAAACTTGCTTTATTGTCATCCTGATTTGTCCTTGAAATCTTTCCCAGGACATTCAAAGACCTGGAGATTGCCTGACACACACAATTTCCCCAAATGCCCCATGGCAGGTGAAGCCCCTTGTGCAGAGGCAGTTCAGCAACAGATTCATATATAAGACAGACAGTGACAAAGAGACAATGAGGTATATGTGACATTCTGAGCTAAAGGTGAGGTAAGGCACCTGTAGCTTCAAAAGGGAAAAAAGTCCTTACCAGGAGAGTAAGATAAGCAGATGTTCAGTAAATAAGAGTTTGTCCTGTTCTTTACATTGATCATAAGAGTTCACTCTGAACATTACTTTTATTATGGGCAGGCCCTGAATTTAAAAATTTTCTTATATTGTAGTGGTGTTTATTTTTTATTATTTTGTGGTTTATGCTTTTATTATTGTTCCATTTTTAACTCTTCTGGCTCCAGCACCCAGCCGGGGCAGTACTTCCACAGTCAATCCCCATATCATTGTCCATGTCCATGAATCCTTTGCATGTATTCTTTGACTAATACCTCCACCTTCTTTCAACCAGTCCCAACCTCCCTTCTCCTCTATACAGCTATTCAGTCCTCTATTCAGTGTATTCCATGGTTCTATGCCTCTGGTTCTATTTTTCTCATTAGTTTATTTTGTTTATTAGATTCCTCTTAAGTGAGATCATATGATATTTGTCTTTCGCCAATTGGCTTATTTGCCTTAGCATAATTGTACCTTGTTCCATCCCTGCTGTGGTAAAATGTAGAAATTCCTTACTTTTCTGCTGTGTAGCATTCCATTGGGTAAATGCACCACAGTTTTTAAATCCATTCAACTACTGATGGACACTTGCCTATTGTAAATAGTGCTGCTATGAACACAGGGGTGCATGAATTGTTCTGAATTGGTGTCTTGGGATCATTAGGGTATAACCCAAGCAGTGAAATCACTGGGTGAAAATGCAAGTCCATTTTTAATTTTTTAAAATACTTTATTTATTTTTAGAGAGAGGGGAAGAGAGGGAGAAAGAGAGGGAGAGAAACATCAATGTGTGGTTGCCTCTCACATGGCCCCCACTGGGGACCTTGCCCACAACCCAGGCATGTGACCTAGACTGGGAATCAGACCAGCAACCCTTTTAGTTCACAGCCCACACTCAATTCACTGAACTCCACCAGCCAGAGTCATTTTTAATTTTTTGAGAAACTTCCATACTGTTTTCTACAGTGGTTAAACCAGTCTGCATTCTCACCACAATGCACTGCAGTTCCCTTTCCTCCACATCCTTGCCAGCACTTCTTGTTTGTTGATTTATTAATGATAAGCATTATGGCAGGTATGAGGTGATATCTGATTGTGGTTTTCATTTGTGTCTCTCTGATGGCTGATGATGTTCAGAATTTTTTCACATGTCTATGGGCCATTTGTATGTCCTCCTTGGAGAAGTGTCTATTCAGGTCCTTTGCCCATTTTTTTCAGTTCTTTTTTTTTATTGTGGCTCAAGTACAGTTTTCTGCCTTTTCCCCAGCCCTCCTCACCACCCCAGCCCTCCCTGCCTCCCTCCCCCATTTCCACCACCCCTTGTTATTGTCCATATGTCCTTTATAATTGTTCCTGTAAACCCTTCATTTTTCCCCCCATTATCCCCTCCTGCTTCCTCTCTGATCACTGTTGGATTTTTTTTCCTGGTGTTGAGTCATGTAAGTCCTTTATAAATTTTGGAGATTAAAACCTTGTCCAATGTATCATTGGCAAATATATTCTCCCATCCAGACAGTTCCTTTTTAGTTTTGATGATGGTTTCTTTAGCCATGCAGACACTTTTTAAAAAAATTTATTTACTTATTTTTCAAGTACAATTTTCTGTCTATTTCTCCCATCCCAGCCCAACCCACCCTGTGCTCATCCAGACACTTTTTAATTTGATGTAGTCCCACTTGTTTCTTTTTCTCTATCTCCCTTGCCCTAGATGATATATCTGATAAAATATTGTTACATGAGGTACCTGCAATTTTACTGCCTTGTCTTCCAGTAGAATTTTTATGGTATCCTGACTTACATTTAAAGCTTTTATGTAGTTTTAGTTTACTCCAGTGTGTTATGGAATATGGTGGTTTAGTTTTCTTTTTTTTTTGCAAGTACCATCCAGTTCTCCAGACACCATTTATTCAAAAGATTGTCTTTATACCATTTTAGGTTTGTGCCCCCTTTTTCAAATATTAATTGACTATAAAGACATGGTTTTATTCCTGGACTCTCTATTCTGTTCCATTGATCTTTGAGTTTGTTCTTATGCCAGTACCATACTGTTTTGATCACAGTGGCCTTGTAGTATCATTTTGTATCAGGTATTGTGCTCCCTCCAACTTTGTTCTTTTCTTCAAGACAGCTGAGACCATTTGGGGTCTTTTTTCTGTTCCACATATACTTTTGGAATATTTGTTCCAGTCTGTGAAATATGCTATGGATAGTTTAATAAAATTTGCATTGAATCTACAGATTGCTTTAAGTAGTATG